ATCTACGAAAACTAGGATCAGTTTTGGGCCAAGTACGAATACCTTTGTCGTGGATTGGCTTCAACGGCAAGGATTTCAGAAAAGGAGGGTCTTGAGTACAAGGGAACAACTAACCCATCGCTGTTTGTCCAACAGTTTCAGCATCATTGAATGATGGGCCTAGATAGAATTCATTGAGGTCAACATTGGCTTGTGAAAGAAAGGTTGGATTTATGTACGACCTTGTAAGGAGGTTTTGGAAATCCTCAAAACTGAAGGAATCATCGGAAGGAGTTTTGGAAGTCGCCATTTGATGCAAAGTACAGATGTTGTGAAGGATTTTTGAGAAGCGTAATGAGGAAGCAAAACGATGAACAGTGATCTTATAGAAACGCACGATGTAAATACGCGAAGTAATGGCGCGATGAAGTAGCCTGTCTTTTGCATTTATAAGGGCTGGTAACGTTGTACCTTTTCAGGTTGTAGAAAGAAATAATGATTGAAATTCTTGAGAATTTCAAATATTGCTGGAAAATACGAAGGAAGAATATGGCAAAGATTAATAATTGATATTGATTCTGTCATATTGGGGGGTAATTGTTGACATACAAAAAGTGTAGCCCAAATTGAATAGTCCAAGGAATGAAACCCAATTGAGAAATCCAAGAAGAAGGCCCTTACAAGACCATTAGTGAGTATAGTGGAAGCCCACGAACAAAGTAATATCATCGCCCAAGCTTACAAGACACTTAGAATCTGAGCGAACGGAGTGCCTTACGGTCGTTCAGAGCGACGACCCCGTTCTCGCCCAAACCCTCAAGTCGCCCAGTGATTGAACGAATCTAAGATATCAAAGTCATCCAATACAACAGTTATTGAGAAAACTTATCATACCCCACGATCCAAGAATTCCAGTTGTAGGCAGTTAAATGGAAAGGGTAATGGCAACGGTTATGAGATAGCAGTTCCACGACAAGTCAGTCATCATGAAGAAAGTGGGTAATTATGGAGCTATCGAGCAGTTCCAAGCTGTTTGTCACCAAGAAATTATCAAGGAAGTATAAAAAAGAAGAGAAGACATAGAAGAAAGGACCCCAAATCAAACACTCTCAACAGAGAATATGTAATTTCAATTTCGTAGTTTAACTTTAAAATACTTCTTTTAGTACTCGTGTGCTTGCGCCCCTTAGAGGCATTCTGTTTATTTTTTATTGTAAATCTTCTCCAAATAAAACACCCCTTTTTGAGACTTAGTCTCAAGAGGTATGTTCCTTACACAATCGTCTGATCCCTTTTTAATTGTTAGCGACAAAAAGCGCGAAACATGTTCTTTCCATTCCTATTACAAATTTCGAAATCACCATATCCTGGTTAGTAGAGTAGCATGTCCTTTGTCTTTCAAATTTTCCCTTTTCTTTAGCCCCTTCTCTATTACCTTTTCTTTTGCTTCTTTCCTCTTTCATCATTTTTATCTTTGGTTCTATGGCAGCAACATTCTCAGCCAAACAGGTTTCAACATGATCAAAATGTATAGTATATAGCACGCAGGGCATTAGATGAGAAGGTTAAAGAGGTGAAAAAATAGGTAGTGAGGGCCAAAGCATACTTGAATTTTGTACCACCAAATAGCAGCTTCATTTTGTAAAAGATTTGAAGCTAAGAATTAAAGAGGCTGAATGTTCACGAAAATAATTGTTCGTTTTA